TCATTATAACGAAGACCGAGCGGCATCTTTCGACATCCCCGGGGTCGACATCCAGACATAACTGAAATATTGCATTGTTTTTGTCTGATCGTCTTTGCCTTTTTGGAAAGATTTAGACTTTTGAGTTGCCCATCAGTCAAAATTGTTGTAAATATACCCCACTAATGCAAATGATTTTCTTCAGTAAGAAATTCTTCTCTCACCCCGCTATTACAGTCTCTCACCGCCAGCTATTTTGACCAACATCAATTTTCTCCTAACAATATCACTGCATGATCAAGAAAAAAGGTTTCAAGAAGTAATAAAATGATCACCCAAGGGGAACGCTTTGATCTTTCATCAAAGGAATTCTTTCATGGAGACCCAGTCAGAGCGTTTGTGCGTCAAGGGTCCGGCAATAAAAAGGGAGTTGACGGTATTTTCGAATTGAGATCGGAGCCTGTCAACAATAATACGCTTGCCGGCTAATGTGGCCAAAGGGTTCTGCATGCTACACACCACTGTGTACGAAGACTTGTTGATCAAAACTCATGTGTATTTGTTAATAAATTGAGGGTTAATATCGTCAATTTTCAATTTTCCTGTTATGATTTGATATAGAGCCCCTCTCCTGGCAGCGCCCCTTTCTAGAATGGCACAGTTGGTGAGTTTTTGTATTGAAATAAGTGCTGTAAGGGCCCTTATAACGTAAGCACCGTACCTTCTCCAGTAAGTACCCCCGCCCATATTCAGTTTAAAGCGACATTAAAGTAAATTCAGATCAACCGTGTTCCATCGTCCTTAAACCGTTCATTTACCAAGAGTGAGTGATGGAGTCTTTTAAAAGCGTTCTAGCTTTCGAGTCTGTGGATGAAATCCTACGGTGTTACCATTCAAATGAAAGTGAAAGCTACTGGGCAGTACTTTCCTGTGGTACTGTTTATTATGCTGTACAAGGTGGTTCTAATTTTTGAGTCTGTGGATGAAATTCTATGGTGTGACCATTCAAATGAAAGCTACTGAGCAGTACTTTCCTGTGGTACCGTTTATTATGCTGTACAAGGTGGTTCTAACTTTTGAGTCTGTGGATGAAATCCTAAAGTGTGACCATTCAAATGAAAGCTACTGAGCAGTACTTTAACATGTATGTGAGGGTTTGACTTTGATCACCTTTTTCGTCAATGTTGTCCTAGATTGTAGCTAGTCTCTCAAATACTGGTGAAGATAAGTCATAAGATTTTCTTAGTGGTGTTACAATATTGGACTGACTGCAAAGAATAATAATAATCCAATATTGATTTAATTCAGCGTCATAAACACTCATGTCACATTCCAGTTCACGCGACAATATTGGCCAGGGTTGGAGAGCCCAACTTGTCGCAGTCTCGACTACAGATGTTCTCTGTCCCTCCTCTCTTGATAAAAAGTGAATGTTAACTCTCTCCCCCATATATAGGTTCAACTGATTCGGGCTTTTTCGTTTCGGGAAATTCGGCACGCACCCCTGAAGAAGACGAGGAAGACTGAGAGAGGGATGTAAACATGTCCAAGCTTTCAAAACACACAGTTCGCACGCAAGGTGATTTTTAAGATGACGTTTTGAAGGTCAAGAGGCCATACGCCAGACGCTAAGAAAAAAGGAAAAACCACAAGGGCCTCTCGACAGGTGGAGTGTTTCCGTATTGTTTATCTAGCAAAAACAAAGAAGAAGCGATGCCCATAAACAAACAGTTTAAAACAAATTTAAACGAGAACAGTTCGGGTTCTTGATCCTATTTGGTCTTGTAAAGCTGCTCGCTTGTTTAACTGTCCAAATAACCTTTTAGGTTGCACTTGATGTTGATCAGATTTACCTAAATCCGGATAAAGTGCTTTAGAATAAACTGGCAAGTTGATCGACGACGCCCTCAAAACAATAGTGTTTACCGAGCGACTGCCAATTAGCGATTGGATGTATGTTGGAAAACAAAACAACGAAGCACGCATATCGTCAAAGCTGTGTTTCTTGGTGAAAATCTGCTTTGAATTAGAAAATATTGCACAGACTGTTTGGAAATAACAGTGAGATCGATCGCTTGTAATTAAGGAGCTGTGGCTTTTAAGGATGCATGTTTATTGACGAACCGGCGCTAAATAAACATAGGTCATGATTGAGCTAGGCAAGAAATGGCAGAATGGAGGCAAAAATTTCCAGGTGTGTCGTCCGTGCACTGAAATATAATTTTGCGAACAGTATGTTAGCTTTTGTTACTATTTTTATTTATTCATCTTATTGTCCGACGAAAGTAAAATTCAGCAAGTTTGGCTACGAGGCCCACACACGCCACGCCCTTTCAAGAGTCACGTAAAAAAAAGGGCTTGCGTGCGACTATTCCCGAACAGTAACAAAACCGCCAGCTAAGCAGCAAAACAGGCTACTTTTTACGTGATCTTAACGTCCAGTTTTTGGCCTCTTGACCTTCAAACACCTTACGTAAGTGTGTATTGCGAAAAACGTTTTTAATAAGGGTTATAAGGCAGGATCGCAAAACAAGCCCGGAGACACAAGAACACAGAATCTCGCACGCGCAAGTTTATTATATTTCTTTCCTCCACCATAAGCTAGGATCAGGTGAATTGTTTTTTCGTTTTCCTTAGTCGACCCTTCCACGGTTATTCCACTTTCGACATGTCCCAGTTAGGGCCGAAAATCTTTCGACTCCTTTAAATTAGTATGATTGCCAAGTTTGAAAGTGATGAAATGAAACCCAACGAAGATATAAGTCGCGAAATTTTACCCTGACACGGCGTTTGTGTGGTGGGGGGTACAAACTTGACCCCTACCATATAAACGTTTGAAAATTTTTGCAACTTTACGGAGCTCGCTTAATAAGACGTACCACTTTCAAACAGGGGAATTTTACTAATTTTAAGACACTCTTAGCAGGAGAGTTGACGGATTTTTCCTAACTGGTCCATGTCAAAAGTTTAAAAAAATCATGGAACGTGAATATAAACAAATTCAGTTGTGCGGAATGTTCAATGCACTTTTTGTTGCCATTAAAATGGGGTCAACAAGGGCAGACATGTTTTGTCTTGATATAAAATGAATTTTCCATTAAACAAAACCTTTATGTATTAAAATTCGGGACAAATCTTTCTTTCTCCTAATCGAAATTTCCAAAATAGATTCGTAAAAAATGCCCCACTGTGTTTAAAAAGAACGACTATATGTGTGCGTGATTCAGTGTAAAACGTTATCTCTTTAAATCTACACAATTTATCTGCCGTAACGTACTTATGGAGCTTTTATGGAGCTTTTATTGAGGTAAAAATACCCTTCTAATCTAATAATAACTTGAGCAGCTTCTAACAGGTCACGCGATACATGTAAACATTCTAAAATCTTTGCTGCATGAAATAAAACAAATTACATATTACTACCGTGCATAAATGTGAATTAACCAAAACCTGCTCCGGCAAAATTATTGCCGTAGCGAGTATTTTTCCAACAGACTGCCCCTTGGGTCGCCGAGGATGGTAATGTTTATGAAAGAATAGTTCTTTTATATAGGGAAGCACAAATTTCGGACCGGTATTACGTCATTCACATAGCACCCCATTGTAGAACCCTTAAATAATAAGGTGAAAATTAGTTGAACCGGCCGGAGTTTTACGCTTGCCGCTTCTATATTTCATTTTTTTAACGTCTTACGAGATAGCCAACGAAATTTTCAGTTAGGGACGCTTTTTGACCGTCTTTCATACTAAAAAGCAAAGAACGTTATGCGTTTTCGTGCTAAAAGGATTTAGATTTTATAATTTCCTGATAGGTCACTAATAGTCGCCGTACATCAGCTCTAAGAGTCTAGCAAATGTTTCACTGAAAGCAGGTAAAATCTGTCATACATGGCCAGCAAATAAAACATATTAACGAACTAACTAGTTTTTCTTACCTGTAAAAAAGCAGTTCAGTTTTGAAATGAGAAGTTACCAGTTTCGTTGTACAATGTGTATTCGCATGCTGACATCTGAAACGATTTATGCTGGAGACAGCATGCAAGGTTATCATGACATGATTGATGGTTAGACCTCACTTTACACGACCCTATACTATTCATTATTTTCTACTAATAGGTCATGCTATTTTGGGTTAAGATTGTAAGCTACCGCCCTTAAAAAAGATAATTTGTTCGTGGAAGTGAATGATACCGGTTCACCGTAGTTGAATAAGCACAGCACATGCTCGCTTCTCAAGAAAATGTCTATTTAACGATATTGCATGCCCTAACCGTGTCAAATGCGTCGGAGAAGGCGCGATCCACACCGGTTTCCACCGTTTTACGGAAATCGGTCACATCGTTCATAATAAATATATTTTTAATACAAAAAACTTTGTCCAAGTTGAAATCTGGAAAATGGTGTGGACATTTTTTTACAATTTTTAAGACTTCGTTCGAGGAGAATGGAACTAGCCAATATCGCTTCTGAATGACTCAGAATCCCAAGAATTAAGGGGACCTTAGTGAGTTACAATCCAAAAAGTTTCTGGAGGGAGCATGCCCCTGGATTCCCCCCCCCCCCATAGGAGACCTTAGAAGCTTTAGCGCATGTCAGCGCCCGTTTTGAAAATCGTTCAGTTTTTATGCTAGATCCGCGCCCGCGCAGGTGGTTATTTAACATTCATAAAGGATTTTACAGTCCTCCACCAACAGATTGCAAAAGTCCCGGGGGGGAGGTACTCAACAAAGTTACCTTTTTGTGCGGAGTATCCCCTCCGGGGACAACAGCCTGAATGAGACATAGCTTCTATCGAGTTTCATTGAACAAAATTCAAGATGGTTGCAAGGAATCTGCAACTCAGTAAAAATATATTAAAATATATAATATATATTAGCCAAAAGAAAATTTCCACCAAATTTCGAAATTTCATTTTGTGGGTTTTGAAAATAAATAGCATCATGTGAAAGCACAGACAGAGAGCTTTCATGTGAATGATCACATCATAGGATTTCATCCACAGACTCAAAAGTTAGAACTACCTTGCACAACATAATAAACAGTACCACAGGAATGCACTGCCCAGTAGCTTTCATTTGAGCGGTCACACTATAGGATTTCGTCCGCAGACACAAAACTCCATTAAGCACTCTGGCAGTGGAAGGGTTAATAAAAAAAGAGAGGAAAATTTATATACACCTATGTTTAGTTAAAATTTGTATGCAAGTTTAGGTTTAAGGTCACTACAAGCCTTTGAGTACAAAAGAAACTCTCACTTGTTCCGACTTTTGTCTTGAACTGGGATTGATGTCCCAGCCTTGTACTTACAGGCTAAACGATCAAAAATTATAAGAAGGTTAAAATCTCACGACTGCACCGCAAATTATGTAGAATAAGAAGTGAGAGTAAAAAGAAGACAACACTTGCAGGTACACTATACAATGAAAACTGTGAAAAAATACTTTTTCCCACGACTTTTATAAAAAAACTGCTGAAATATTAAATTACAGATAGTTTACGTTGTTGTTCAAAAGAATCCTAAAAACATTTCAAGTAAATTATTGTGAAGGCCGTTTTGGGATTCACTTGCAGAGAGGCCGTAGTTGACATGCAGAAATTTTCATCTGACCTCTAACACTCTAAACAAGTTTGCATAGTCACGCCTTATGCAGAAGAAAATGTTTAAGGTTTGGAACGTTTCTTGGAGATCTCATCGATTGTGGCCCTCAACATCTGGTCCCAGTCCTCCCCTGCTTTCATTTCTTTATACCGGGTGGGCCTGGTAAGCAACTGAGCCAGCTGAGGACTCATTGGCATTTCTATATCGGCAGCCTTCACTGCTTCAGGGAACTTGGCAGGACTGGCCGTTGCCATGCAAACGGTGGGTGTCTTGAGCTCAGAGAGATGCCTGAGAATAAAACAAAGCGTTGTTTGTAATCTGGCCACAGCCCGCGGGATCGGACTTTAATGCGCCTACCCCATGTGCCGCTGAGTGGACAGCAGGCTCAAAAAATAGAGGTCGCCAAGTTGATTCACAAAAAGCGAAAAAAACCGAAAAAGAGGAAGAACACGAAAATATCCAACTAATGTACCTCTTAATGTAAATATTACGATTCTTTTGATTGTTTCGATTTGGTCGCTACCCGACCTAACAGAAACTGTTGCCTTTTATCCATTCAGATGCAATCTTACTACGTTATATATGCGCGATTTTTTGGACTTTTTAATCATCATCGAAATCTCTTGTATATAGGTTCGATGGCTGCAGCGATGTACTCACAAAACAGAGAATTTAGATCTCGTAATGTGACGTTCACTTGTCACAATTGTAAGGCTGATTAAGCAACAGAATGGGAACGTCACTTGATGACGGAAAAGTGCGCGGAAAGGACTAAACTCGACTTCCGGTGCCCAATTTGTCGCTCTGCTATTGCTCAAGCCAGCTTTTTGATTTGTGCGCGCCATCGTCAACTGACGTTCCCGTTTTTTTGCTAAATTAGCCTACCGTGACGTGGAAACCGTGACGTCATTGTCCTGTCGCTGAATGCGACCTCAGCTTATTACAAAAAGCCTAATATACGCTTCAATAAGCAGGGGAAACTGTGCTGGCAAAATGACTTTGGCAGATTTAGCAAAGACAACACGACGACAGTGACGACTACGCGCACGGGTGCTAAAAACTTGCTTACCCAAAACTTCATTTCCCAGTTCCAAAACCCTCGGTTTCTAAACGAGGACAAATACAAAACTATTCTTGCTGAAAATGAGTTTTATCAGGAGCCCATAACCCAGAGCGAGTAACTTCCATGCGCTCCTGCAACGGCGTTTTCACGGACCACTGCATTTTTAGAACGGGTATGGCGCGTTAGCAAAACCTGCAGACCTAACAAATGATATTTTTGCCTTTTAATAACGTTTAGTTTTCCTTTTTGATATCATATACTTCGAATGCGCTCATAGACATAGTGGAAATTCTATTTTCGCCGGAAAAAGTGCCCCAAAATTTATCTAAAAATAAACTGGTTCGTAAAAACGCCGTGACATAGGCCCAGCATAGGATTTCCTCGCTCCGGATAATGGGCTCATGGTTTTATTTGCTTGAGAATGAAAAAATCATTTTGCTGTGGTGTGGGCGTTGTTCACTGTCTTTGTAATCATTTGTATTACCTCATTTGGTGATTAGACCCATCTCTATCCATTTCTCCACCCATTTTTTTACCTTTTGTCCCAGGCCACCGAAACACCAACAGCCGTGTGCGGGCAGAGCAGGTACTGGTTCTCATCCCAACATTCCTTCATGGTTTGCAGTGTCTGGTCACATGACACAGAAGCCGAGGAGATAACCTTGGACATCTGCAGGAATGAAAGGACAAAAAGTAAAGATAAATTTCGTCAAAAAACTTACTTAGTTCTATCGGGAAATACCCTGGTTGCCATAGACCTTCCATGTCAAGTCTTGATAGTGATCCGCGCGGATATCGTGACTACCCTGGAAACCAGGGATTTTTTTCTCGCGGTTTCGCCTTCCGTGGCTTCGACTGTGGGTTGAAGATATGTCGACGAGTTGTCATCCACGAAACATCCCGGAGACCGCGTGAAAAACAAAAATTAAACCCAAGTTTTAAATACCTATAGCATTGCCATGCATTGAAATACCCTCACCTTCCTAGGAAAGGCAGTTTTAGGCGAGAGATTTAACTTCGGTTTCTCCGCGGGGCTACGCTAACGCTGCTGGAATAGTGTCAGTTTTAAATGTGTATATACTTCTGATAATAATTTTAAACATTTACCCTACACATAGCATAACTGCCGAAGTGCTATGAGTAATGGGCACTATGTCCCACACGGAAATCAGCGAGATTTTATTGCACATTTTTTTAGTAACAGAATGGCAAGGATTCCACATTTGAAAACTCCATATTTTGGATAGGCATTTGCTAGTACATTTGTTTTAAGCTACGAAATCCTTGCTGAAAGCTCTTGCAGTCGCTTTCCCCTCCAAAAAATATCTCTCTCGGGTGGAGCATCCCCCTGTAGTCTACCATAGGGCGCACCCAGTTTGGAGGATGTACTTGTGGATATCAGGGCCCTCCTACGTCCATATTAATTAGAATTGTTACGTTCATTGCTGTGATTACATGGTATATCTGGTATGGCTTACGATTTTTCATGATTTGTTTTGTCTATTAATTTTTTTTTCCATTTTTGTTTCTTTCAAATGCATGCGTTACTTTCATGTCTTTTATCGGCTCCTGCTTTTATGGTTTAAAACACTTACTTGAAAAAGTCTAGAGGTGTTGAAACAAATAGCGTGACTGTTCTATTACACTACAGGTACGTAGCGTGACTTTAAAAACGTATTACGTCAATGACAATGGTCATGTGATTCACCCTATTTCATAACGAATATTATAATCCGCTTTCAGTTTCGACGAGTTTCGAGCGCTTCCGCTTGTTCATGCATGCCACCCCAGGTTTTAATAATTCCACTTTTCGCGGATTCGTTTCGACGAGGTGAGTAATTTAACTACTGTTATTCAACCAAAAAAATATCATTCAAGTCCCTTATGTCGTAGCTCTCAAGAGTTTTGAGCAAGATGGGATTTGTTAACATAGCCGATCGTAATCGGAATCATAATCATCGCGTACACGTTTTTCGGTTTGTGCTCGGCAACGTAAGAACAACTTTTGGCGGTTGAAGCGCCTTTTTGCAATTATAGCAACCCCAAGCAAGTTTTGACTTTCTGAGAAATTTTTGAAGCAAAAAAATTCAACGATTTCAAAGAAAACTTCAATGTAAGCGAATTTCTTGACAACAATTCGCAGGCCTAAAAAGAGCCAGAGAGGCCTGAAACGCAGTCACCACATAAATAGACAAAATAAAACGAAAAACTGTAAGCTTAAAAGCGAAATTCAAGGCACATTTTGCTCATTTGTAGAGCAAATAATATTTCGCATACAACATCAATTTTTTGACGTATGAATAATTTAAAATCAGCTTAGTTCACGGGCTCTCGGCGCCTGAAACACAGTCAGTACACAAATAAACACAAGAAAATACTAAAAGTAAGCTTTAAATGGAAAATTTAATGCACATTTCGCTAAATTATAGAGAGAAAAAGAATAATTCATATACAACGTTTTATAATTATTGTCCCATGAATAATTGCTTAGCTTTAAAACTACGTTTTCAAACTATTTTTCTTGACCGATGTTAGCAATTTTAATGTGAAGAACGAAACGTAACGCTATTAATTCACGCTTATATAAAAATATCAAGAGACAGAAAGAGATTTAGGTGGCAAATTTGGATCTTGGGCAATCTTTCAGCAACTTTTTGGAGCAACATTGCAGCATTTTACGAGCACAATCGGGACAGGCCTCATTACCTATGCTTAAACCTACATCTTTGTCATTACCAGGGGCATAGCCAGGCATATTTCTTACAGACAGAATTGTACAAGTCCTGAAGACAATCGTGAGTGGGAAATTGGAATCAAGCATTTCCAGCCTCACAATTTCAATGTTGAGGCTATCGGGCTAATCTTTGACAAGTACTGATGTCCCGGGGTTTTGATCACCGAAGAATAAGACGACAAGAACAACATTGGGGATAAATAGTATTTAAAAGGTACTGAATAAACTTTTTTTAAAGAAATCGTAGTCCTAAATTTAAATGAGATTTTGCCGTTGCACAAAGCCACGAGCTACAATATCCTCGTTTGAACAGTCGCCGACTGTTTAGCTTCATTGCAAGAACGTGGTCACTCTCTGTGACGCATTTTGAAATCGCACAACTCGGTCAGTACCAATATTTTATTGATCTCGTCGCCAGTTTGTTGAAAAGTGGCTTTTGCATCTCATTTTGTAGTCAAAACAGAAATGAAGCAAAAATGGTGCGATTTAGAAGAGATGTAACTTAGAGCAAAAAACATTATGATTCATGAATAAATCACACTGCTGAGAGCCAATCAGATTGCAGGGATTACCAGTTATTTACAATGGATATAATAAAAGGGAAAAAACCTAACAAAAAAATTATAATAATTAAAATTTCCTACTTTTTAAAGCAAGAAAATAACCTTTACAACTTTAAAAGATACTAACAACTCATTTCTTTTAATAAATTTGAAAAAAAAAACAACTTTAAAAGCAGTTTTCGGTCTGAAAATAGCGTAATCATAAGCAAAAATTGGCTGACGTCTACGTTCACTTTATTGCTCATTAGCATACGAAATAACCCAAAGATAGTGTCTCTCTATATAAAGATCAGGTTCAAACGTTAGTCCATCGCCCTGCAACACACATAAAAACACACACAGATGCAACAATAAATGCGCCCAGTCCGGGGACATTGAGGTACATTGTGGGTCACGAACCATGTCTTTGGCAATGGAGGAAGTTGTGTTTGTTGTACTGACTAGGGAGTTTAAGATACCACGACGGCGCGGCCACGAAACGTTCGCTTAAAAAGTGAATTTGCGTTCTTTCAATCTCTATCGCGTTTACTCCAACTCATTTATTTTGTCAGATGCAAGTAAACTCTTGGGTTGAGCCGAATTCCTTTACACCACATTCAGGTACAGAAAGAGAAAGAAAACTTAGCCGTCGATTGTTTACGCCCTCCATAAAACGTGAAATTAGGCATTTTCCCGTCGTAGTCGTGCAGTGACGATAAAGAAATGAACAAAAAAGCGTGATGCACGTGCAGAGTTGTTGTTTTGCCTATTCAAACTACAGCTTCAAGACGTTCTCGTTGTCGTCTCGTTACACGGGACGATTCGCAACAACGATTTTTAGTTCCACACAGCGTTGAAACATTGTTGCGACATTGCTTCGAATAGTTACAACACTGTTCCAACATTGCAACGCTGTGTTGTGCTAAAAATCGTCGTTGCGAAAAGTCCCGTGTAACATCACCTATAAAGTCCCTATTATTACTGGGCTGCAAGAGGCATGCTCAGTTGCGTTTTTGGTTGTTTCGGTCGTCTCCGCTAAAAACTGAACACTGTTAATTATTAAGGCGTTGCGTGTTTCCATAGTATTAGGGAGCTCTAGCAACGACGAAGGTGACAGTAATGAGAACGGCAAAAATGCAATTGGTTTAATTAGCACAGCAACAACTTTGCACGTGCATCACACTTTTGTACATTTCTTTGCCTTCACTGAACGATTACGACGTGAAAATGCCTAACTTCACGTTTTATGGAGAGGAAGTACACAGGCCTCGACGAATTGCTTTGTTCTCTCCCTAACCTTAAGCGCAGTCCCTAAGAAATAAACTCCATCATGGAAATTCGCCTACATTTGACATTTTCAGCTAACTGAAATAAATTTGAGAAAGTTTGAAAAAAGGCGAATTTCTTTTTAAAGTAACGTTTCGATGCTGTCGCCGATCGCCGTCGTCGATGCCGAGGCTCCCTACCAACGACGCGACGATGAAAACGTCAAAAAACAATAGGTTTAACAAGCACACCAACTATTTGCAAGTGCATCACACTTTTTCGTACATTTCTTCGCCGTTTTTGCACGACTACGACGTCAAAATACCTCATTTTGCGTTTTATGGAGAACGTAAACAAGCAACGACTTAAACGACAAAATTTTGTTACTCTTTTCTTGGAAATGGTCCCTTCATTTAACAAAGTAAGTACTCGTTGCCGTCGCGTCGTTGGATCTTTAAAAAAGGCCCTAATAATCGATCTTACATGAGATTCCCCATTTCCCATAATTCACCTTATTTGCTGCCCCAAAAAAAAAAAAAAAATTGCATAAGCATTGTTTTCAATTTGTCTTGGGACGGCTGCAATACCCAGGAGAAATGAAAAACAAAGGTTATGCAAAATTTTGGTAGGCAAATGAGGTGCATTATGGGAAATGTGCCAGTGGCGTATACTACTTTTGTGCCTAAGTGGGATTCCTGTGTTCATCAGCGGAGAGGAGATTCTCGACATTTTCAATGTGTAGATCAACAAGCTTATTATACCATCTCTTACAGGATTAAACGTTGGTGATGGAATACTGTCAGGAGCAGCTTAATTACTTCAGGCTCTGCTACGTTGCTTTTAATCTGGTTCCAGTAGGACTGCGGAAAATTTTCAAAAACGAATGGGATTTTCGTTACCAGACGACTCCACTTGGAGAATGGCACGATACGCCACAGAATGGGAGTGATTTCTACAAAAATGAATCTAAAGCAAGTCACAAGAGGAATGGCCGTTGTCTAGCCACTATCCAGAATGGTGACAAGGCAGAGTGGGACTGTACCTGTTTGTTTTTTGCCATCCTCTACTCAGACAGCATTGGTACCACCTTAAGTCCGGCTGTCTATAATGATGTCGATCATATTCGTCAGGTGCGAAACGAGATCGCTCATATCACAGAGGCTAAGGTTACAGATGCCGACTTCCAAACTTCTGTCGATAAAGTGTTGAACGCTTTTACATCCCTTGGTCTTCCTATAACCGAGATCCAGGAGATAAAGAAGCAGACGTCCTTTCCAACGGACGAACTGGAAAAAATTAAGAAGCAAGCTCGTGGTCTCCAAGCTGAGTTAGATCAGACAAAATCTAACTTACAAGTAAAGGAAAGCAGACTTCAGAGTACAGAAGCGGATCTTGGTTCTGCAAAAGAGGAAAACAAGGCTCTCACCCAGGAAATAAGTGCGAAACTTCACCCGTTTTGCATTCTTACATCACGCCCACCACATGAGATCATCAGGCGTTCGCAAGACATTGAAAGAATCACAAACAAAATGGAGGAACTTTACAGTGGTGCTAATGGAGCAGTTAGTACTGTGTATTTGTCAGGAAATCCGGGATGTGGTAAGAGTCAACTTGCCCGGGAAATCGGACAACAGTTCTTTTCTGAACAAAAGGACAACGATGAAGATCTAATCTTCGTTGCGACACTAAACACAGAAAGCGTTGAGACACTTGCTGATTCTTACTTCACCCTTGGAAGACATCTAGGGATCACAGAATACGCCTTGACAAGCTTAGAGCCTTTAAAAAGAGAGAAGCCTAAAGATGCAATTCAACAGCTTAAATGCTTAATTGTACAGAAGGCTCACAATTTTACAAAATGGTTGTTAATAGCAGACAATGTGATTGACTTACGCTTAGTCCGCGGCTTACTGCCTCAAAGTGGCAGTAAGGAATGGGGCCATGGTCAAGTATTGATTACCACTCAAGATAGCGCTACAATTCCACAAAATGCTCCTCACACTTATCACGAATCGTTAAGTAAAGGAATGAGGAGGGACGAGGCAATAGAACTGCTGGAAACAGTATCGCAAATGCCAGAGCAAGACCAAGCTGAGAACATCGCTGAACTTCTCGATTTTCAGCCACTGGCCTTGGCTGCTGCTGCCTATTACATGCAAACTGTTGTGAACAGTGGGTCTTCAAATTATAATTGGAGAGCATACCTCCAAGACATATCAACATACGGCCAAAGAAATATGACTGAAACTGTCCTTGCAAATGACAGTTCAGCCTATGCTAAAACAACAATGGCTGCTGTAGAAATGGCTATCCAGAGAGCTGTTGAAAATGACGAGGTCCTTCGTCAGGCATACTCTTTTCTCTCGCTTTGCGCTCACGACGATCTCCCACTCGAAACTGTTTCTAAGTTCGTCAAAGTCCACGTAAAGGACCAGCCAGAGGAGTTAATAAAGGCAAAGATTGTAAGGTCTTCTTTGCTTCTCGTTCACTCCGAGAAAGAAAATAAGCTACGTACTTACCTGCGCTTGCATAAAGTTGTGCATGAAGCTTTGAGACGAGGCGAAATGTTTAAGAATAACCTAAAATCATGGGAGCGGGATCACAACATGGCAGAAGCGGTAAAGATTTTCGAGTCCCAACTTGAAGAAAATGACGAGAATTATACATTTCGTAAAAAACTAAGGCCCCACTGCGAATCTTTAATTAATCACATGACGTCAGGGTGTAGTTTAGATCACCACACGTTTATCGAAAGGTTTACGCCCTTCGTAGAATTAGATGCAGTAATTCATTGGCTACGTGCTCTCGCCATTGTCTGTAAACAAGGCTCCTATTTTTTCTTTGCAAAAATAGTGGTCGATTTAGCATGCAACCTACTGGAGAACATAGACGAATCTTCCTCAGGTGCGTTAATTAAAGCGACTATATTCAACATAGGTGGTGCAGTGTACGACAGCCTTGGAGAATACAATCAAGCCAAAGAACTGCACGAAAAAGCACTGATGATCCACACAAAGATTTTCGGTGAAGATCATGGCGATGTGGCAAAGTGTTATACCAACTTGGCAACAGTGTACTATAGCCTGGGAGAACACAATCAAGCCAAAGAACTGCACGAAAAAGCACTGATAATTGCCAAAAAGATTTTCGGTGAAGATCATGCCAACGTAGCATCAATTTATAACAACTTGGCATGTGTGTACCATAGCCTGGGAGAATACAATCAGGCCAAAGAACTTGACGAAAAAGCACTGATGATCCGCAAAAAGATTTTCGATGAAGATCATGCCGATGTAGCAAGAAGTTATGACAACTTGGCATCAGTGTACCATAGCCTGGGAGAATACAGTCAGGCCAAAGAACTTCACGAAAAAGCACTGATGATCCACAGGAAGATTTTCGATGAAGATCATGCCGATGTAGCAACAAGTTATAACAACTTGGCAGGAGTGTACTATAGCCTGGGAGAATACAATCAAGCCAAAGAACTTAACGAAAAAGCACAGATGATACGCAAAAAGATTTTCGATGAAGATCATACAGCTGTAGCAACAAGTTATAACAACTTGGCATTAGTGTACAATAGCCTGGGGGAATACAATCAAGCAAGAGAACTGCAAGAAAAAGCACTGATGATCCAAAAAAAGATTTTCGGTGAAGATCATGCCGATGTAGCAACAAGTTATAACAACTTGGCTTTAGTGTACTGTAGCCTGGGAGAATACAATGAAGCCAAAGAACTTAACGAAAATGCACTGATGATGAGCAAAAATATTTTCGGTGAACATCATGACAATAATATTACAGCATCAATTTATAACAACTTAGCATTAGTGTACCATAGCCTGGGAGAATACAATCAAGCCAAAGAACTGCACGAAAAAGCACTGATGATCCGAAAAAAGATTTTCGGTGAAAATCATGCCAAAGTAGCAACGGTCTATAACAACTTGGCATCAGTGTACCATAGCCTGGGAGAATACAATCAAGCCAAAGAACTTCACAAAAAAGCACTGATGATGCACAAAAAGATTTTCGGTGAAGATAATGCCGATGTAGCAACGGACTATAACAACTTGGCATCAGTGTACCATAGCCTGGGAGAATACAATCAAGCCAAAGAACTCAACGAAAAAGCACTGATTATCCTCAAAAAGATTTTCGGTGAAAATCATGCCAATGTAGCAAAAAGTTATAACAACTTGGCATCATTGCACAATAGCCTGGGAGAATACAATCAAGCCAAAGAACTTCACAAAAAAGCACTGACGATCCGCAAAAAGATTTTTGGTGAAGATCATGCCGATGTAGCAACGGACTATAACAACTTGGCATCAGTGTACCATAGCCTGGGAGAATACAATCAAGCCAAAGAACTTCACAAAAAAGCACTGACGATCCGCAAAAAGATTTTTGGTGAAGATCATGCCGATGTAGCAAAGGACTATAACAACTTGGCATCAGTGTACCATAGCCTGGGAGAATACAATCAAGCCAAAGAACTCAACGAAAAAGCACTGATTATCCTCAAAAAGATTTTCGGTGAAAATCATGCCAATGTAGCAAAAAGTTATAACAACTTGGCATCATTGCACAATAGCCTGGGAGAATACAATCAAGCCAAAGAACTGCACGAAAAAGCACTGATGATCCGCAAAAAGATTTTTGGTGAAGATCATGCCGATGTAGCAAAGGACTATAACAACTTGGCATCAGTGTACCATAGCCTGGGAGAATACAATCAAGCCAAAGAACTTCACAAAAAAGCACTGACGATCCGCAAAAAGATTTTTGGTGAAGATTATGCCGATGTAGCAAAGGACTATAACAACTTGGCATCAGTGTACCATAGCCTGGGAGAATACAATCAAGCCAAAGAACTTCACAAAAAAGCACTGACGATCCGCAAAAAGATTTTTGGTGAAGATCACGCCGATGTAGCAAAGGACTATAACAACTTGGCATCAGTGTACCATAGCCTGGGAGAATACAATCAAGCCAAAGAACTGCACGAAAAAGCACTGATTATCCGCAAAAAGATTTTCGGTGAAAATCATGCCAATGTAGCAAAAAGTTATAACAACTTGGCATCAGTGTACAATAGGCTGGGAGAATACAATCAAGCCAAAGAACTGCACGAAAAAGCACTGATGATCCGAAAAAAGATTTTCGGTGAAAATCATGCCAAAGTAGCAACGGACTATAACAACTTGGCATCAGTGTACTATAGCCTGGGAGAATACAATCAAGCCAAAGAACTTCACGAAAAAGCACTGATGATGCGCAAAAAGATTTTCGGTGAAAATCATGCCAATGTAGCAAAAAGTTATAACAACTTGGCAGCAGTGTACCATAGCCTGGGAGAATACAATCAAGCCAAAGAACTGCGCGAAAAAGCACTGATGATCCGCAAAAAATAATTTCGATGAAGATCATGCCGATGTAGCATCAAATTATAACAACTTGGCATCAGTGTACCATAGCCTGCGAGAATACAATCAAGCCAAAGAACTGCACGAAAAAGCACTGATTATCCGCCAGACGATGTTCGGTGAAAACGATGCCGATGTAGCAACAAGTTATAACAACTTGGCATCATGCAGTGTAAAATAGCCTGGGAGAATACAATCAAGCCAAAGAACTGCACGAAAAAGCAGTGACGATCGCAAAAAAATTTCAGTGAAGATCATGCTGTTGTAGCAACATGTTATGACAATTTGGCATCAGTGTACAATTGCCTGGAAAAAAACAATCAAGCCAAAGAATTCCAAGATGAAGCATTGTGATTCACAATAAGATTTTTGGTGAAGATCTTACCTATGTGGCAACAAGTTATTGAACACAACGTGGCATCAGTGTACAACAGTGTGGGAGATTACAACCAAGTCAAAGAACATTACGACAAAGCACTGACGTTATTTAGAGAACTTTGTTGTGAATCTCATATCGATTGAGTAACAGGTTATAACGTGATTCGATGATGATTGTTGATCGTTGGTTAATGTAGCTACAGGTTATCACAACTTGGCATAGTGTACAATTTTCGGTGAAGATCACTGATTTCTATGTCGAAGGAGTTTGTAAAAACTTGGTATAAGTAAACAAACATCTACATGACGGGGGCAATGAAAATCATACATAAGAATAGTAAATTTGAACATGTCGTAAGTCTGTGATAGCAAGAGAGAATAATGGATAATTGATTCCATCAATTCCATTGCAAGCGAAAAAAATGTTTAAAACACCTTAGGACTTTCAGTTAGGGCCAGCTAGCCATGCCTTACGGAGTTGTCAAACCAGAAACTGAATTCTGACTGTGCTTCTTTAGTAAGTCGAGTTGTGTCCCATTACGTGGCACATTCCCCCCTTTACCACACGTATACTCGGAAATAACTCCATGAAAAGGTAACTGAAGGGTTAGTAAACCTGTCCATTCGCCCGGGTGTCAACTCATCTACTGTCGTCTATCAAAAGCAAGATCTCCATTGCGTAATCGCGGGAGGCGAAGAGTCCAAAGTGAGTGGCAGCTATCGACGCGAGGTGCGAGGGCGTGAAAAAGTATCTAATCGTTCGCGACTCGCTCGCGTGTGACCTTTCACTCTCGCAACTTCCAAATGGAGAGCCTGCTTCCAGGCTAACTGTCATCTCGTCAACCACTTTGCTCAACTCAACTCAGCTACTACCGTAGTTTATGACAGCGAGTTAGTTGTGTATTCTTCGTTTTAAAAGGAGCTCCGCCGAAGGTTCAAGTCAGTATTTTAGTGTATTGGAGAAGCAAAGAAGTAGGTGGGTTTACCATAAAACAAGGGCGTATATTCAGATTTTACGTTACTTCGAACCAGTGGACACACGCACAAATAAGATTGCAACCTTTTTGTGAGGTGTACATAAAAATTCTTACCTTCTTTCTCAAATCTTCAGGTATTTTCAAAGAATTATTCTGCTCGAATTCTTGCATCAGGGAGTCGACTAGAGCGTAGTTCATATCAGAGAAGAGGAGCAACAGGCGTTCAATATTATACGGAACCTATAAAAAACAACACACAGACTTAAAATGGTTATCAATTTAGAAATTTAAGGCCACCCTTGCGCGCCTGCTGCCAAATAAAAACCTTGGTTGTTGGCTGAAAAAATTTTGTGTCACGTTTTTAACCGATGAGATTTAACACTGAAGCTAATCGTGACTCGCTCACTTGCTTTTTCCCGCGCTTCTCGTAATTTGCATTGAATTCTGATTGGCTAATTAGATGTAATGGTGTCTTTGTGTCCGCTGTTATAGGTGCATTTACACAGTTTTAGAGGCAATTTCAAACCGTGCGTGTAAACTAGTGGCAACAGGGTGCGTAAGCAACGACGACGGCGGCGTCAACGAGGACGGCAAAAAAAGCAATAGCATTAGATTGGCAAAACAACAGCATGAATCACGCTTTTTGGTACATTTCTTTGTCGCCACTGCAAGACTACGACGTGAAAATACTTAATTTCACGTTTTGTAGAGGATGTGAACACAACACAGAGACTTTCTTTGCTTTTTCCTGAACTTCGATACAGTCTTTTAGAATTCAAGTCCACAAAAAAATTGTCAACATTTGACCAATTGAGCGGAATGGAATAAGCGCGATAAAGTTTGAAGAAGCGCGACTTCACTTTTTACGTGACATTTTCGCAGCCGTTGCCGACGTTGTTGCTTAAGGTCCCTAATATCAAACGATTTGTTGCTGCAAAATTGGCGTTGTTTCAGGCCAGCACGAATTTTGCGATATGTCACGCAGCTACAAAAATTGCAAAAAATTGGAGAAATCGCAGATTTTGTTGACACTGGAAAATTCAAGTGTTAGAGGGGGTCGAAGGGGGCCCAATAAAATCTACGATTTCTGCAATTTTTGCGATTTTTCTAAAAATTGCGAAAAATTGGAGAAATCGCAGAATTAGCTAAAATTTTTAAATTCAGGAGTTAGAGGTGGTAGAAGGGGCTGCAACAAAATCTGCGATTTCTCGAGATTTGATGCGATTGGTGATCATTTATCAGTGATTTTCTGCGTAAACGTTTCCCCCACAAAAACTACTTAGGGTATACATATAAACATCAGATGCAGGCTACGGAAAAACGCTGCATTACATAGTCAGCCAAAAAAAAACACGGAAAGAAGACGCCTATTGAAAGGAGAAAGGGGCCTTAGTATGGTCAGAGATTATTCTTACCCTGACAACACTCGGAAAAGAACTACGAAAAGAAAAATATGCGAAAAAACAAGAACAGAGTGAGCTAGGAGATTTTTCTGTAATGGGGGGGGATAGGGGGCCCTGGTCCAAACCTCCCGCCTCCCGTACCTTGCACACCCGGCTCACACCCCTTTTTTCTTCGATTTCTCTTTCTTTAGCCCGTTTTTTTTAAAAACGAAATACTAAGCAACGTTGCATGATTCCCCCCTATTTCTCCCGCTTTCCACCCCTTTTCGAACTCCCACTTCACGCCTTTTCAGAGTTCTTTTTCGAATCTGGCCAGAGTGAAAAAAACAATAATTGATGGCCAAACTAAGGTTTGTTTACCTAGGCCTCGTATTTTTTCCCCTTTTCTCCTGAGCTCCTACTTCCCAGTCCTACCCCACTTTTCGCAAAGATAAAAGAGCAAACACCTTAGCGCGGAAAACAACCTCTCTTTTGCTCGCGCATTGCAAGGTGCTCATCCTCAGTGTAAGAACTTGTAACTTTCAACACAGATGTAAAACAAAGTAAACAAAAGAGTGATAAAAGAAACAAAAAAAGTAAATCTTTTACAGGTCCTTACACTGAGGTAACCTCTCACAAGGACTCTGGCTCCATGAGACTCACAGACAAAATAATGATTACATTACCTGAATGTCCATGGCGGTAGACCAGGTTTGCTGGACCACTTCTGACATGGTGAAAACTCCAGTAGAGATTGCACGGTGAACAATGTCATTCTCATTGACAGCACAAACAAGTTCCACAGGGAGACCCATTTTATGCACATACAGACCAGCTGTGGATAACAATGAAAAATCACAGAAATATTATGTATTGATAGCTTCCCATGCAGACGATTTTCTGGGAAGGAACGTGAGTCAAAGCCCAAAGAAAATCTGTGTGAGAGGCTAATGCGGGGTCTTTCTGCAGGTATTTGTACCATCATCACAAAGAAAGCAATCTTTTATTGTACGTAATTTGTGCCTCAGTGCCTACAGAAGGATCCCTAATGTCTCATAGAGAGGGGTTCATAGAAAAACTGCCGTCACTTTTTAACAACTTTTCAAGGACCACATTCGATTTTCAAGGACCACCTACCAGGAAAGTAAATCTCAGATTTGTATAAAACTGTACATTCCCAGTCCAAGCTAACCGGACTTGAACTGTACATGTTTGCTCTACCAGTTTCTCTACATCGTTCAGTTCACTTGTCTTACATTGATAGTTAATTCTTCCATAAAAACACAAAACACTTTATTTAAATCACCTATAACTTATCTGGGCTATGATTTATTCTGTCTTGGACAACTAAAAAGCATTCAAAAACAATTTCCACGCTGCCAGCTACATTCAAAGTTGAAGAAATTTCAAGGACTTTTTAAGGAGTAGCATAGATATTTAAGGACTCTTCAAGACTGCGCAAACCCTGATAGACCTAATTTAATGGCCATTTAGTCTGAAGCACAGAGTACAAAAACTCAGATCTTTAGTATTTTAGTATTTGTGTTCAATAGAATAAAGAAGTGTGATGACACAAAAAGTCAAATTTGGGATAGGGATGTAGCTAACGAAAAGCTAAGCAGGCTTTGTTATAAGTGAAGACAATTTTCTTACTCAACCACACCTTCAACATTACCCCAAGTTTTTCTTTTCAAGATCAATTTAAACCAGTGATAAGGTCTTATTCAGCTGGCAGCCAGCTCTTAGCAACACCCCTGAGTTACACTATTTGAAAGAATTATTTACCTGTACAATGTCCAAGGGCCCCTGTTGGTATAATAAACTTCACAGTATCGCCAACTTCTTGACAGACTTGAAAGTAAGCATAGAAAATATGCACAAGCTGTGCCATAATGCGACACCAGTTTATTGAATTAATTGAAGATAGATTATTGGTCTCTGCATATTCATGATCAGAAAAACAATTCTTGATAGGTTTATCGAGATCATCTGACGTCCCCTCCGTGCTAAACACATGAACATTCGAATCCGTTACTGTTGTCATCTGCAGCTCTTGTATCTGATTGGCGCGTCCTTTAGGAAACAGCACAATGATGTCAATCCATTCTGATCTGCGTACACTTTCTATGGCTGCACTACCAGTGTCTCCAGAAGTTCCCACAAGAACAATTGTGTTTTTCTTCTTTTTCTTCAGAAAAACATCCATGAACATGCCAACACTTACAAGAGCGTAGTCTTTAAATGCAAGAGTTTTGCCATGAAATAGTTCCAGCACATGAAAATTGTTGACTTTTGCTATGGAAAGAAGGTCTTTGTGTCCAAATTCTGAGAATGCTTTGTTGATCAAGTCTGCAAACAGCAACATGAGATAAATAGATAGCATACAGTGTAGTTATATCATAATAAGCTCTATAGGCATGTACATGCCGTGGATAAAAGAATGGGTTTAAAGTGCTTATTCATTAAACCCTTTAACTCCAAAGAGTGACTAATGTCAATTTTCTCAGAACAAAATCAATACAACATCAAGGAAAACGTTATGAGATCTAATAAAATGATCACCCAAGCAAATATGCTTTGCTCTTTCAAATTAGTTTTGGGATTTCATAAATAACTGTCACCACCTAGATTAGCTTCGTGCAGCTGTAGTTATTGTTGGTGTTCCATTACTGTGTGGTATTTTTAATTCTATACCATGTATAATTTTTTCTTATTTGCTCAACTTGCAGTACAAATATAAATGCTGTTGTTGTTGTTAAGGATAAGAACTGTAACCACGTGCACTTGCTCAGGGGGCTAGTTTAATAATTTATATTGCACACCTTTGGGCTTACACACTTGTGCCTACTCTAAGAGGTAACCCAGCATATAAGTACTGTCAGCATGCAAAGAAAGGCATGTCTGATAGCCTAAGGCCTGGTTCTCATATACCACCGATGTACCTGTGACGTAGCCGCTGGTACTGCTTGGGCTTCTCGGACAAATGAGAACATGCGCTGCCAGCAACTAGAGCCACCACAGCGCTTTACCGCCAGCATGCCTGCGAGGTTGAACTCAAGTCAACTTTGCAGGCATGCAGGCGGAAAAGACTGGAATGATCAATGTTGCCGGCCACTTCTGTTCTCATATCATAACGGCACTGGCGGCCATGTAGCAAGTGCATCGGCAGCATATGAGAACCAGGCTTAAGGCTAGCAGATTTTCCTATCAGGCTACTGAATTATGTTCTTAAAATGGAATTCAAATCACAGAAGAACTGTAATCAATCCTGCTCATCGAAAAAAAGTTTTCAGGCTTGTTACCATAGGGCCATTTACACAAGGAAAAATAAGACAAGTCTTAAATAAGATGCAAACTGTACCATTTATACGAGCATATCTTATCTAAGATGAAAACAGCTCATATGAATGGTTCGCTTCTTATTTCTGTTCTTGACTGGTTTTCATGTGAATGTTGCTCGTAGCAACGGCAATCCAACATTTGTCCAAGACTTTCTTTGCACCCTATCACCCTAAGTGCTATGAAAGAGTAGCTGAATAGCGCTATATAAGTTACTATTATTATAATTATTATTATTATTATTATTATTATTATAATCATAACTATAACAAAATTGTCAAATCTGATTGGCTATCAACTGCCCTGATTTCAACCTTAATTGGACAGTTTAATAGGACAGTACGCATCATGCCTAAGTAATTGGACAGTACGCACCATCACGCGCACGCTTAAATGGCTTTTTTTTTCACTGCTGGCAAAACAAAATTTCGAATTTCTGATGTTTTGATTTAAAAAATAGCCTATTGGATCGCAAATTTTGTTAAAGTTATGATTAATTGGTAACAGAACTTCATGTTGTCCAATTCGGTCTGTAATCATACTCGTGATTAAACAAATCGGACTCCCGCTATGCGGTCGTCCAATTTTTTTAATCACTCGTATGAATACACACCGAATTGGACTCCACTCAGTCCCATTACCATTACTTATCATCATTATTATTACTATCCTAGGAGTACATTAGGACTCAAAACTAAGTAGCAAGAGCTTGATAGCCTGCGACAACAGCTTTTCAACACAATTACTGGTTTCCCCATTAAATGATGTGTGACTAACGAGTGCAGAAACTCCACACTGATGACTATCTTTAACCAGATCAGGGTAGTGACATGTCATCAGTATGGAATTTGTGCTCTCATTCCTCAGACATCATTTCATGAGGAAAACAGTGAAGGTATTGCAAAATATTGGCCGTTTTCTCAGGTAACAGACAAGAGCACCCTAATGGCAGCTGTTTTACACATTTTTTCCATTCTTGGTTTGGATCAGTTTAATATTTCCTAAGAGGAACTGTCCACCTACCCATCCCCTAACACAACATTTTGCCCTAAGAGAGAATTTAACTGTCAACATTCAGTTAGGGGAGGGGTAGGTCAGGAAGTTTCTCAGAATCTCATAATGATCAGATTTTCATCAACAAAGAAGCTTACCATTCAAGTCTTCAGTAGTGATTTCCTCAGGAGGAATAAACAGAGACATCACCTCCTTAGTTAGCTCCAAATATGAATGTCCTCTCCACTTCTCAAGGGTGGCCCTATCAACAACTGGAATACTCTCCGGCATAAACAATCCACCATCACCGGCATAACCGCTGAAAAGCACATCTTCAAATGATGTAGCTTCTACCTTTCCTCGTGTGCTTCGGTACTTCATCACTCCCTTAAAGATAAACATAATAAAATGGCTAGATTTCAGAATACCTGGCCACTTAACATCTACAGTACTGCTCAAAAGCAATTTGGCACTCTCTCGGCTCGAGACTCGAAACTCGATTCTTGCGTCTCAAAACGTGAACAAATCGAGTTTCAAGATGCCAGAATCAAGTTTCGAGTTTCAAGAAACTTAAATTTTTGAATAGTCAACACTTGAAAGGGTTTCAAGAAAACGATTTATTTCTCGAGAAAAATAACAATAGCCATCCCCGTATACAGCAAAAATTCAAACCAATCATCAGGGCTTGACATGTACATGTCACGTGTAAGTTTTTTAGGCAATAAAAAAGGACCAATGGAAGGTTTTTTAATCTTGAATTTCGGATAATCGAGTTGCTGTATTTTTATTCAAATTCTATCGTGTGAACCATAAGAGACGTTTTATTTTAGGTGCATAAAAACATGTTGTGTTGAACAGTATGTAAGCTCAGTTACATCTGTCACAACGGCATAGATAAATTGAAAAATATGATCTTGAAGTTTATCATAGCTGCCGTGAATCTTTTTTGCAAACTGTAATTTATTTTTGCAAGCCATTCAAAAAAAATACAAAACGTATAACAAAATAAGGCAAAGTTAAAGCTGAAATAAAGGATATGAGAAACCTCTGAGTGTACCTACTTATAGTGCGACAGAAAATGCTAACATACAAATGTAAGGAAAACTTGCATATGTCACATGTAATTTGAACCCTCTCGCTTTCACATGCAATTTGCAACTTTATAATTCATACAACAGCGATTCAATATTTCTAAAAGCAAAAGTCGTAATTACTTAGGTTTCCCCTACACAACCATTTCAAAAGCCCAGTACAAGTAGGGAATTTTGTGAGTCAACTCATCTTTTCTGCGCAGTAACAGAGTGCGGTCTGTTTGACGAATTTGTCCCTCAAGAGATCAGTCAAGCGACAAGCTCATTATATTTCTCGACTTGACTCTCGATTCTCGAAACTCAAGAATCGATTCTGGCAACTCAAGACTCGATTCTCCAAAGTTTCAAGAATCAAGAACTGAGTCTCAAGTCTCGAAGATCAAGATGCGAGTGACTGTCACCTTACTTTTGAGCAGTACTATTCTTGCAGTCCTGCAGTTGTCCGATTTGCGTAATAAATTCTGACATTGACTGTGGGACTGCAGGAGCACTAGTATCCCTCATTCTATAAGCCTACTGTCTTGTTACTTGATATTGACTGTGGGAGTGCGGGACTGTGGCAGCACTAGTTGTAGAAGCGCTTAATATTTACGTTTCAGACACTGCAGGAGTACGGGACTGTGGGTTGGTACACCACATACCAAGTGAATAGCAAGTCTCAAGTTACGTCACAAAGAACACCAGAATGATGCTTGGCCCTTACACAATAATACAATAAACTCCACACAATAGAACGACACATAGTGCATATACTCTGTACAGTCAAACCTCCATGTGCGACCACCTTTCGTAAGCAACCACCTTCAATAAGTGACCGCCAATCCAAAACACCAAAATTTTCCCAGTCAAAGCCTTAGAGTTGGAACCTCTAGTAAAGTAAAACGACCACCTCCTGTAAGCGACCGTGACCACTTTTTGGGCCTGACGGTTAAGGATTTTTCATTGTTTTTAACCTCTTGTATGTGACCACTAATTTTGATGCATTCTCTGATCTCTACTTTGGTTGTGTGCACTATGTTACTTAGAATATAGCTATTTCAAGAAAGGTTGGCGGCAAAAATGGCACGCGACAATCCCGAAAGGTAATATGGGATATGATGAATACACTGTTCCTGACTCTGTAGCTGTCAAAACGTCTTTTTTTGCTTTCCTTTAGCACACGCAAACATACATCCACGGCCTCTTGTGCCATTCTTTGAAATTTCTTTGAAGAACAGTGAACTCAAAACCACCCACAATACCTTTCGGGATTGTCGCGTGCACTTTTTCCGACAACCTTTCTCAAAATAGCTGTATAAGAAGAACTTTAGTGACAACACAGAGCTACACATATCCATTGCATGCAATAAATTATCTTCCATAAAGTAGATGTGCCTGAACCTCTTCTCGGAAGAGACCACCTGTAGTTCGATTCTTGTAAACGACCACCTCCCGTAAGCGACAACTCAATCTTTGCATTTTGGGTGGTCGCTTACGGGAGGTTCGACTGTATTGACTTGGTATATCGAGCATCACACGCACTGCCGGAGCAGTTTCTCAAGTAACATTATTCTGCAATCGCTCCAATAAAATTACCGTCAAAATAGCAAGACCGTGAATACCAGAAGCATTTCTGAATAAAACCTACTGTACTTTAGAGGAAAATGTCAATTAAATATAAAGCTGGTGTCACATAAGCTTACATGAGGGTCTTACATAAGCCTACATGTAAGTTTACAACTTTAACACGAACGAAGATCACACCAGTTTAACACAAAATGGCTCATTTTAGCCAAAGAATATCTGTTATCAAAGAAAAAGGGATCATTCTTACCGGCCTCAGATAAGTTAAAAGACTATAAGCCACTTGCTAAGCGCCAACAACAAAAAGTCCAACATCAACGATTAAAAATGAACCGCCATTTTGAATGTAGATAAGGAACTGGAAACGAATCGTTCCCAGGAATTTCAGAATCTCCTCTTTTTGAGTAACGCATGACAAGCGGAAGTCATAGCGCGCGCGGCATTTCTCTCTGAACAGGCCTTTCAAGGGGTAGAAGCGACAGGCGAAATAGCCCCCAAAACTGGCGACAATCCTGAGAACGGATGTTTTATGAGTCAATGAGTCATGAGTCATGAGTCATGAGTCAATGAGTCAATGAGTCAATGAGTCAATGAGTCAGATCTGAAAAAAAATAAAAGTTTCGGTAGAAACAATAAAATTAGGCATTACTTTTATTTTATTTTGTCTACTTGTTTCAATGCTGCCAGAACATGCAAGGCCTATTTCTGACATGAAATCTCAACCTGGGCTGTTTGTTAGCAGCTACTACTACTACGTGCATGCCCCGAAGAATATCCTTCCCAGACACCCTTGAAGAACCATCAGACAATCCATACCAGAAGTAAAGTGCTGCCACAAGGTTGTTGATATTAGTTGATGCACGAGTTTTAAACAGGCGAACTAATGTAAATAAATGGCAAACATAATGCAAACAATGAATTCGAATGCCCAAAGATTTTAATCAATCAACCAGCCTTCAAAGCTATTTAGAATTACGATGGGTATACAGTAATACCTCAATAAGAATTGTTCGTACACGGTATGTTTCTAATATAAACTCTGATTGTGTACAACTGTTCGACTACCTGTTTCATACCCCTCCTCAGGCACATTACAATTCAGTTTGTTCGCCTCGTAGCATCATTCACCTTTTGAGGCAAGTAAAACTGATTGGAAAAAGTGGTGAGCTACATTGGGAAGATTATCTACTGAAAACAACTCTGCTATTGATTGTTGGAGCGGACGCTTTAATACTTAGTTCCATTTGTCAGAACTGACCGGCCAGGACATTCCCGTCGTAATGAAAATTTTACTTTTTATCAAAGCTATCCAGCCAGATCAGTCAAATCCTAAATAGCACTGACACGAAGGAAATCGCTTTTCGTCAAAAACTCTTGGAAAAAGCCTTTTTTGTTTTTAAGATCACCGGTCCAGCCATGGTCCGGCCGGCCAGTTCCGACTTTTGGAAAGCGTCCTTAAATTGTCTGTCCTGGGTCGTCTTCAGTGTGTTCATGAGCCACAGCGGTCAACAGCATGAAAGAACATTGTATTGCCCTTGTTTCCTCGCTAAAACCTAATGCCGACTACCTCCTGGAATACTTGCCTTTACACCAGAATGACAAGCTCATGAGTAACGTACCGATACAGATATAAAAGAACAACTTTCCTTCGCACTCGTGACCCATTTTTTACTTCAAACCGGGCCCAAACATCAACATAACGAATGTCAACGAACGACTATTCCCAGATTTGAGTCTTTGAGTGCTAAGTAATTCCATAACAGGTTTATCTCAATTTACTTTAAGCGATGTGTTTAAAGGGAATTAAAGACTGTCTTCGGTAGCACTCACAAAATTTAGGCTGGCTTATTTATCCCCTTCTGCTACGCGGCAGGGCCTAGGAACTGCTAACAAACAGCTCAGGTAGAGATTTCATGTCAGAAATAGGCCTTGCATGTGCAGACAGCAATGAAACAAGTAGACAAAATAAGTAAAAGTAATGCTTAATTTTATTGTTTTTACCGAAACTTTTATTTTTTCAGATCTGACTCATGACTCATCACTCATTGACTCATTTGACTCATTAATACTTTACACTCGACAATCCTCTAGGCAGCGCCGACCATCGACAGAAAGGGAGGAAAGAATTGTAAAAGCGACAATAAGTAGTGAAAGCGACATCTGTTCACTATGGGATTTTGTCTGTTTCGGAAGCGAAATTATAAACTTTTTTCCTTTATTTCCAAACATTTTCTTCTCTTTACTTTGGAACGTTTCCTAACTATGGCATTGTTCAAGAACAGTTGCCTTAAAAGACCGTGTTATAATCATCATCATCATCATTATTTTTATTATTATTGGCAAGAAACAACAATGTAGCGAATTGAAGGATTATCAACCTTCAGATCTGACCGGCGATCGAAATGCTTAATTGAAATGAAGGAAAGACCGAATGAATGCGTGGGTGAATGCTTTCAACCGAGCCATCATCGACCATTCAAATAAAATTAAGAAATTACTCATTTACGAACCACAACACAATGCCGCTTTAGTCTGGAAAACATCTTTCGGATGATTCAGCATTCGTCATCAGTTCAAGGAACTTTTTAACAACGTATTGACTATACAAAGTTGATAACAAACAGTGCTAATAGCGTCACGTCACCATGGTAGCACTATTTCTGGATGACAACAAAACCACCGACGACGGCGAGGGAAGGAGAACGGCAAAAAAAAAGTAATAGGTTTTTATGGACAAAACAACAAATTTGCTCGTGCATCACGCTATTTTGTACAGTATTTTGCCGTCGTTGCACCCCTGCGACATGAAACTTCCTACTTTCACACGCTTGCTTCATGAAGTAGGTGAACACAACACAAAAGTTGTCTTTTTCTTCTTATAATCTTAGATACGGTCCTTTCGGATTCAACCCGAGGAAATTTCACCAACATTTGCCAAATTAAAGATCGATGAAGTTTGAAGCGGTGCGAAAAAAGTACTTTTACGCTGGTACCTGGCTCAATACTAATGAATCAATATCCCTTCTATAACTTTCTGAGCTATTTTGTCATTTTTCCTTTACTTTTTTATTAATAATATTAAGTCCTTTGTTATACATAACTTTAAGGGGCACAATATTAGTTTATCTAGATGTGCCCCTCTCCTCTCCTTCCAATATACAATCTAATTCAATTTAAGTGTTGTAATTTCTATTTTACGTGTTTATTTCCTTCGTAAGTCTTTATCTGTTACTATATTATTTTTCTCAGTTATATTTACATAACTATGTATCAGCTAGGAATTGGAGGAATGAATAAAATAAAAAATAAATAAAAAAGCGGTGCCAATTCGCTTTTTAAGTGACGTTTTCGGTCTGTTGTCATCCAAAACGTTTTGCTACCATGACAACGTGACTTAACGAGTTATCCTCTCTATCACCGCAGTGTAGTGCAAATTTTAGCTTTCGCTTTACTGCTTCGAAATTTCGTTAAAGTACAGAAATGGAATTTCGGCTCTCCATGGTTCCTGTTTTTGGTACTCCTTATAAATTTTCCCACACAAACGTGCTTGCTGGAGACTCATGCATAATTTAGAGTTTTCCCAAAACTTCCTTTTTCGTGCCGAGAGCCAAGGCTTGCAGAAAAAATGTTTGTTATCATACCACAGCCGGCTAATAACGCTAATGGCTATCAGTTTCTTTCTGCAAATGCACAGTGTTTTCACTGTAGCTTATCCACTAGAACCGAGTTTAATTTGTTTCTTTTGCTATAAAATTACACAACGCTAGTAAACATATTGGTGCCTTCGGAGGTATCATGCACTTCATATTATATTTTGTCCCGCTGTGAAATTGTTAGTGTAACGTTCCCTGTGCGGAAGTCCGTGAGTCAATAAACCATCTGCATTAATTGTCAGTGGCTTGTTGAATCTAAAATTGCACTTTGTTTTCTCTGTTAAGATCTTTCAAATAAACAAAAAAGGAATAAAACATTCACACGACCAAGACACATGACGTTTTAGTTTGGAAAACATGTTTCGGGTAATTATTCAGCATACAGTGTTAATTACAGTGCCGTTTTCAGCTTCTATTTTACTGCTTCGAAATATTTCGGTAAAATAAAGAAATAGAATTTCGGCTCCTCATGGTTCCCGTTTAGTTTGATCCCGTTATTCTTCGCGCAGAATGAGTGAACATCCGGTTGCTCATGACCACCGAATTTTCCAGCTTTCGTGAGACCCATTATTAATTTAGAGTTTCCCCAAAGCGTCCTTTTTCATACAAGCGAGAGAGCCAATTTATTTGTCAAAAATTGAGAAGGTTTTTCATACCGTCATAGGGTGCATTAGGGTTCTAATTGTTAATATAACTTTCCCAACATGCAGATGTTCGTGAGCCAATAGGATCCCTGCGTAACAGGTTACTCTTAAAAATGCCAGGCCCTAGCAGGGGCTTCCACTCTACAGTTGCAGTTTCTCTGTCACAAATTTTTGCTTAAGTAAATACTGAAATTTATATCGCTTTTAGCAATCGGCCGGCGAAGCTGTTTACTTGCTAAACTGTTTTGTTTAATCTAGCATAAGAGATTATCCCTGGAAATTACCCTTTTTGAAGAGAGAGAACAGGTAAGATCAGTTTAATAACTTTTTCCGAGAGGAACGCTTCCTGCTCTCCTGTTATTAGTATTAAGCGTATTGAAAGCAACAGAAGTTACCATGTCAGGTTAAGGTTCTCAGTTTCGCAGTTTTACAGTCATTTTCAGTTTATTTTTACTTCGGCTCGAAATTAGCGGTTCTGCGGTTTAACTGTCCTCCAGGCTGTTTTTTCCTTATTGAAACGTTCGGTTTTTGGCTTTTGTATATAAAAAACTGGGATTCCAAATTTTGCTTCTTCATCTTTATCAACCTCATCTTCCATCCGTAAAAAACAGGCGCTCGAGAAGCACATGTGACTACTGCTGAAGGCGGGTAAAATGCAAATGGTAGAATGGTGCTACATATGCCATATCCTTATGTCGATATTCGTCCAGCCCCATACATCTATTATACATCGGTAACTCATACTATTTCGCATAAACAGTTCTTGAGTCGCAGGCGTTCAGGTATATGTACATGTGACCCTATTTGGGAAACCGGGCTTAATGAAATTTGTGTTGAAATGCATTTTCAACGCATTTGAATGCTTCAAACTACATTGCAACAATAACAACAACAACAACAGTTTATTCAATTGTCAAATGAGTTAGGTCTATGTTACCCACAATTAGCGGAGCAATTCTAGGTGGGCAACAACACAATAATTGTCTTCTATAAAGTCGGCAAAAGAACGTAAGTAAAGAGAAAACAAAAACAAAAAGATTAAACGTTTTTCAATGATTCGTAACCTATTTGAAACGTTCCCCAGAATGCGTGCAACTTTGTCAAATGATTAAGGGTCTCTCGAGAACTCGCCTTACCCCTGAAGCCTTTGTAAAATTTTGGATATGTCCATATGAGAGGGCGGGCTGGCTAAGTTCCCGAGATCTCCGTTTTTCCAACCGGGATCTAGGTAAGCGGGCTGGAAAATTTTGCCATATGAACACTTTACCCTGTCTGTTGTGTTTGAACTGTTTTTGAACATTCACGTGCTGTCTCAACACATTTCTAGAAGACAGGGCCTGTCGGGTTAAGCTAGATCAATTTCTTTGCCACTACCTTCTGTTCGTACATTTTTTGCGTTCCTATTTATATTCACGACTAAGAGACGGGAATGGGTGTGCAGCTCGAACTGTGGAGCCTGAGTGTTTAATGCCGTCCAAATAACATACAAAGTTCAACATTATAACTAAAGAATGGCATACAAATATTCCTAAATAAAGTCACTCGGGCTAAACTATTCACATGCGCCGACTGATACGAAAACCCAAAAACCCAATGGGAAAAAACTGGGAACGTATTTCCCACGATGCGGTCGTACAACCTCTGGTAAATATATATCTGGTGAATAAAGTAAGATATAAAAATAAAAGTTGATAGTTCGAGAGCTGAGATGAATACATTACAACTGTCAAAACCTTATATACCTAATGACAATAGAGTCAATTAACGCCATAGCGGCTCAGGTGCGTTCATACCAATGGGAAAAGTATTTACATTCTTTGTCACTGCCACTACGTTTAGCTCCGCCGAATGTAATACATTATTTTTTGGGTTGTATTGGTAAAAATGAATGTTTTTTTAATGGTAGCAGAATTCACTCTGCTAGCAACTTAATCGCAAAGGCGAGAAGAAACACGAAACGTTCACTTGAGTAAATATTTAGTCAATTTCAAATCGACTAGTAAACATTTCACCTTATATGGTAATTCCATTACGGCATTTGCATTCTCTGAACTTGGCAAGAAGATTCCTGCCAGTTGAATCAAGTTCAAGTTCAAATTCAAGTTCATTTATTTACAGTTATTCAATTACAATACAACAACAATAAGAAAAAAGAAGAAGTAAAAACAGAGCTAACTATACATTGAATTAAACCTAACAAAGGAAAAAGGTGTTTGGCAGCCAAAGGAGCTAAGCTTTCGAGTTGGCTACTACCACAGAGCGGTTACAAGTGGGTGGAGGTTATACAATACTTAAAAATAAATAGAGCTAAATAACACAGTTAAACTCATGCTCTGGGTTACATTCTGTACAGTTAAACTCTTAAATTCTGTACGGTTAAACTCTCCACACGTTTAACTCTCTACCCGCGATCTTGTTCGACTTGAAATCACATCTGTAAAAGTGAAAACTTTGCCTGTTGCAAGCCTGAGTAGTAGCGCCGATTTTTTTTCACCCTAGGAGCAGAGATTCTCTTTTGCGTGGCTTTTAGTGTTTACGAAGTCGTTCGCGTCGCTTGTCAGTCGTGTAGTTGCTTTATTTCATACCATCTGGCGCATGCTCAATGAAACCACAAGCGGCTCGTTGCAGAGGTTTCTCCTGGGACTTATAAAATAAACCAGCTACACGATAGACAAGCGACAGGAATGACTTCGTAAAAGCTAAAAGCCATGCAAGAGAGAAACCTCTGTTCGCAGGACGCCCGCGCGCCAAATAAATTAACGATGAGGACCATTCAAGAGCTGGTTACCCTGTGCGGTAACTCGCTCCGTTATAAATCATGATACATTTTACTGGCAAGTAACGAAAGCCCAGCAAAAGAATAAACGAACGGGAAATGTGGAAAATTAAATAATTATTCTCTTTAAACATTGATATTACGTCTAGGTAAACTCTGGCCGGCAAGGTGTACAAAATGGCTCTGATCACACGGCTTCTCTTCTTGATCTCAATGCTTGACCTGGTTCATAAAGCAGAGACTATAGAACAATGTAACGGACCACGCCAGTTACCCGAGCGGGACCAGATGCTCCAGGGACACACCTATAAAACGCGATGGGCACGATCCGGCTTTGCAGAGTGCTTGTTTGTGTGTAGGGAGGAGAAGGTTTGCCAAAGCTTCAATTTTGTTGTTAAAGAAAGCAAGTGTGAGTTCAATAATCGCACAAAGGAAGCCTGCAGACCCGAAGATTTTGTTCCCGACCTTGATCGACTTTATGTCAAACTTGATGTCAGTAGAGGTAAACATATTTACCATGTTTTCTTTCAATTCATTTGTTCGTAAGCTAGCCTTAGTCTGTGTACAGCCACAGGCTATTAATAAGCTCATTGCCTATTTTGGTCTGGAATCGGATATGGTTTTCGAGGGAACTACGGGAGTTTATAAACGAATTTGTCTTATCAATTCCAAAAGAATAACAAAGAAAGAATAATATGGATTTTAAGAAATCTTTTTATTAGCGTTTTAATCTAAGTAATGATACAATAATTTTTGTCTTGCCAGGTCTGAAAATTCATGAAAACGGGTATGGGTTTTAGAGGCCAGGTCTGAAAACGGGTGTGGAAAGTAGCCTTTCTGGTCCGAAATAGGGTCAGGATTTGGAAAACCGGGTGACACACCTCGACCACGAATCCCCAGGAGTACCCCCCGGAGGACTCTTATTCAATTACTTTTTCCAAGATAGAGCTTGTTTGCAGTTCATCTTTCACCCGGGGGGCGAGCACTCCCTTATTTGGCCTGTACGGGTATGTGCCGCTGAACAGGGTATGGTTTCCAAGGGCTTGAGTCTTAAACAGGGTATACAATGTCACCACTAACGGTGGACTGTAAGCTTCTAAAGAGTGTGGAGACTTGCGATGAGCGGTCTATATTTGCAATATCAATAATTTTTCTCGTAAATATCTACTTCCACGATTTTAGTGTGAAAAAATTACTTAATCCGGTATGCAAAACAAAACAAGTCAGGGTCAGAAAGTAGTGTCTCCTGTCTTAAACAGCGTAGCGAAATGAGCAATTTTTGTCCTAAACAGTGCCGGGGTTTGAAGGCCTCGGCGGCACAGCACTACCCACACTTCCCTTGAGTGCCCCCCGGATCTTTCTCGGACTCAAAAGTGAGGGATACTTTACATATCTGCAGCTTTTTGCTCGGTTTCATTAACAAACCATAACATATCGGTATATTTTCAACGCAGTTCCCCTTGGTTCTGTCCCTGAGCTGCCGGCTACCTCTTGCCACGAAATAAATGCAAACGAAGGGAAAAGAATGGACGACGGTACATACTGGATGTTGTTATCAGGAAAGATTGTTCGTGCTTTCTGTAACATGA